GTATTAGAAGGCCTGCACTGCTCCAAGTAGAATCTTTCTCAGCGACAAAAGAAACCTTTAAAATCCAAGACTGCTGCTCGGGAAACAACATTCGTGAGTGGTTTCCAGAACTCCCCATGCACCATATTTGTATTAAGGTGAACATATTTACCAATACTGGGTGTTCGAACAGCTACAACATTAACCCTGGCTATCACGGCGACACATATTCCAAAAGACCACCTCAGCTCTCTGGGGAGAACACACTTCAATCCTGCCATTTCAGGCACAAAGTTCTACATCAGATGTCAAGAAAATCTCTTCCCTCGCAGATAGCCTTTTACTCCTTGGTTGGGAGAGGGCATTAGTGACAAAGTTCCTTGCCCAAAGACACATGCATCAAGACGCCAATTAATCAAAATTCCCTCTAGCATCTCTATTTCTTTAGCTTCTGACGGCTTCCAGAAATCTCTGCCTACAAAAACTAACTAAACCCCTAAATCAGATGACAAAACCTTCATGAGACTTGAAATTTAAACGTGTGACTTGAAATTCAAAACCTCACCTCTTCGCCACATTTGATTCCTTCCTTTTGGCATATGTCCAGCAGCCTTTTTCTCTGCACGTCTTCTGAGAGGGGCTTGAAGCGGAACTTGGAGCAACGTGAAGTCAGCGGTTCAATAATCCTTCAGCCAAGAGAGAAAATAAAAGACGTGTACATGGGAAATTCAAAATTCAAGCCTACAAATTATTCCTGTCGATATTGAAATTACAGGTGCAAAATGAAGTGCATATTTTTTCTTCACAGTCAAATTTTTGTTATTTCCCACAAATAGGCAGTAGAACAAAAGGAATCCAAGCTTGAAAAAGAGTGGTAATGTTTCTGGATATCTGTTGGAGACCCTGTTTGGCTGTTCTGGACACTCTATTCGGTTATGAACCTCCACGTATATGTATTGTTTTTTCTTTGCTTTCTTAAACTTAGGTTCCTCCCAAAAAACTTAACCTTGTTATCAATTTAATTTGATATGGCCGACTCGTGACTAAAGTCAATTCAGACTGGATTTTTCAAGTACTGGCTAAAACCGTGGAAGAAAATCCTTCCATAATGCCATGCCTACCTACAGAAATGAAACAATTCTGAAATGTTGAGGTTCCAGACCAAGTGACTGAGTTTGAAAAAGCTGCTGTCCTGCTGGGACACCTACCTGCTGACGTAGTTGCAAATCAGGCAGAACCGTGTGTTCTTGGACTGCTTCTCCATTGTACGACGCAGAGCCGACTGTTTGTGGGTATGAAATTAAAGGGTGCAAAATCCTTTGTCACACTCTCAAACTCTGTGAAAGGATGGCAGATGCAGGGTCTGTTGGTTTCACAAGGATCTGGATGTCGAATGATAGTCCCAACACTTCTTCGCTCCATCCATTAGGAAGGTCCAGATGTCAGTGAACCAACGACGGATTACTGATTGAGATTCGGATCCATGTTAAACAAACTTGGTGAGTCCAGGCTCACTCCAAGACTGGTTTGACTAGGTGCGTGATGGACTCCCGAGGTAAGACTGGGCTAGAGCTGAGAACCCAATCAAATCCATACTTGAGCTTTTTTTGAAGTGTTTGACTCAGTGAGTTTTTTTCTACTTTTTTTTAGGCCATCCGTGACTACTCAGATACTGAGTCAACTGTAATGCTACTGTTGATATGGTATGAGAAAGTATGAGTTACATGGCCCAAAGCACTCAGAGTGTGAAGATCCATGAAAGTAATGTGATCCATAAATAGAGAGGCATCTTCAAACTGTATCTGAGACAATCCACTGGTGTGAAAAATGGCCTCATTGGAGAGAACTTAGGCCAAATATCAAACTGTATCTCTGCACAGTATTCCTGACTGGGCATTTTACGAGAGTTACATCAAATAGTCAGCTAAACAGATAAAAAGTGGCAAAACTCAACAGTGTACCTGTGCGGCATTCGTCATCGAGTCTGCTTCATCGAGAATGACAATCTTGAAGGGTGGGCAAGGACGGCCACTGTGAAAAGAAACAATTAGACCCACACTGTTCATCAACTAGGGTCAAGTTGGATCAGTGACCACCAGTCACTTTCCTTCGTAACCTTTTGCCAAAAAATACGTTCTGAGTAGCAGGCGGAATCGACCCATGGCTGATTAATGGTCATGGATAGAACTCGGCCAACGGTGTCAGTCCAGGGGCAAGTTCGGTCGATTTTGATTGGTAACCTATGCATTTAAAGTATATCAGCATAATGGAAAATCGACCAGTGGTTAACAAATCGCCACTGATTGAACTTGCCGAGTACTCTGGACTGACGGCCGGCATCATTGCACTCTAACTCATACTTGAGTACTTTTGTCCACGCTCATAGTTGTACTCAAGGAAATACGCTCACACAAATTTCCTGTACTCACACTTGTGGCAAAGTACTTTTACTCATGCTTGTACTCATGAAAAACGACTCGTGCTCGTGGAAAAGTAGTTTACTACAACAATGCTGAAAGCCACAACCCAAACTTCTGAACAAAACCTTTGTTTCTTTTATGTTTACTTCCCATTCTAAGCCAACATGTCTGAAGCTTCCATTATGATCGATGTTCTTAAAGATTTCCTCTTAGATAAAACAAACACAAAACAGACAGCAAAAATAACAAAACAAAAAAAACCAAACGAATAAATAAATAAACTGAACAAATTTACTCTGGTCTTGTTCCTCCAGCTGTTTGCTGAGCAAACGTCTTGACTTTATTTCGGATGACGTCTATTCCCCTCTCGTCAGAAGCATTCAGCTCAAGAACCCGCGACCGAAACATGTCCCTGCATTTATCCACGAAAGAAAAGACATCTTTTAAATTTTGTGTTGACGGAACAGACCACCATGGATGTTCGCTGGTTCTACTTTCATTATTTGCCAATGTTTCAGTTATGTGGGAATAACCACATTAAAAGTGGAGAATACTTTGACTAGATCTGTGGTGTCCGAGACAGAGGGTATGAACAAAAGTCTTGTCCTCTAAAACAACCGGAAATTCACAGAGGCATGAGTATGGCGGCTGTGGCTCTGGTTTTTTTATTTTACCACTGGCCTGCAACAGAGAACAGTCATAGCTGCATGCTACAACTTACTGTTACAGAAAGATCTTGGGCTTTACTGGGATTACCCAATTGACAGCAAAAAAACTAATTCGCTGGATAGAACAGGCAGTATGTTGGTCAATTCCAAAGAAAGGTTTAAATGTAAAAGCCAAAGGAACACAGATGTTAACCGACGTTTGAATGTAGCACAGGAACACTTCCACGAACTCAACGTTTTATCCCATTCCAAAACAAAACAAGCTCACTGAAGCCATCTGTACTGTTCGGGTCAGCAGCCTGAGATATCTGCGATTAACGTGCTCAAGTGGAAACAACGCATTGTGGTACTTCCACTAACGTGAACCAACGTGAAAAAATCTGGGTGGCCCGTTGGCTGTTAGATGTGAAGTCACCGTGTTCTATATTGCCACTTCATGAACCATAGATTCGTGAAAAAATTTTTTCACGAATCGTGAAGGGAGTGGTTTAGACTGGTTCCCTCTGCACATTCCAATGGAGAGAATGGGAACAAGTACATGGCTTCAGTTGTCTGTAAAGTTTGGAATGGCCAATGAGCTATCTCATCTTTGAACATGGCAATAAGCATTTTCCCTCTGTTCGAATAGAAGTGGTTCTGGGTGGGATTTCGTCCCTTACCCAAACAGCTCTCTGCCGGCTGCTAGGATGGTGGAGGTCTTGCCGGTACCCGGTGGACCGTAGAACAGCATGTTGGGAAGCTGGGGGAATGGGGATAGAAGGACAAGGTCATGAAATTTCATAGGGAAACCAACTGGCAAGGGTGTTCCAATCAAACAAAACTGACTCCCAACAGAATTCTTGCTGGAAACTTTCCTGAATCCTCCAAATCCTCTACCATGCTGAAAACCAAAGGTACACTTTTGACACTGTGCTCAGCCGCTACAGGGCAAAAAACTGTTTCTTTCACAGATGTTTCTTGAATGTATGGATTTGGACAGTCAAACGATGGGCAAAGAAAAGGTGAAAACTTACATCTGATCCTTCCAGTGACTTTTTGAGCATGGCAACCACCTCTTCTTGGAAAGCGACATCGTCCACACACCTAGGGCGACTGGGAAATGGGAAGAATAAGTTATACATATTTCAGTGAATATATTAACCCTTACCGCCTAGGGTGTATGTAAAATCGTATTGAAATTGGAGGATTTTGGACTGTTAGGGTTAATGTGTTTGCACAATGCTTGCCTCACAGTGCGGCAATTTACATGACAACAGACTGCATATTGTAGCAAAGACTAATCCAAGAAGATGCCATTAACATAGTGGCACTACATCAAAGAGCCATACATACATCCATACATGTACCGGGTAGATAATTACTACAGCGCTAACTGGCTTCGCATTGCAAAGTGCTAGATGTAGGGCTGTGACGAATATTCCAATAACTGAATATTCAATCGATTATCGAATATTATTTTCTGAATTTGGATATTCGAATGCAAAATTCATGAAAAGGGAACATTTTCTCTTGTTTTAAATGAGAAAAACTGCACTGTGGAGGCTTGTTTCAAGCAGATTTATATGAAAAGCGACAGAAATTTTCAACAATTCAAAAAGTAAGTTAATCATTAAACAATTTAAAAGGGAAGAAATTTTCAACTGGGCAAGAAGTACTGGTATTGTTCATCTCTTAAATCTTGCTAAATCGCGGCTGAAGATACTCCTAGATGTGAGAGGCTATATTGATTACAATTGTGTGCATTATTACAACTGATTTTGTATATGGTTTGTTCATCAACAATCTGCCGGTTTGTACGACCGAATATTCGGTTATTCGATCAAATTGAAGGTCGAATATTCGAATAGTGAATTATTTGAATTGACTCGGCCCTAGCTAGATGCATCAGTGTTTGTGCACAAACCTACGGAAAATTCAAAAAGGGTTGTACAGCTTTTGTTCGGCTATTTAAATATCTGCGTCTGTATTCTAAATACGTTTTCTATTCCTCAACAATGCTGATATGCAAACAAATGCACAATCAGTACGTGAGCATTTGCTTTGCTTCATGTAAACAACGGAAAATATGTGCGCATGTACTCGGCAGATGAATTTTGCCGAGGTTTCTCGTGTCATATTAATGATAAAAGTGTGTTGTGGGCCTGTTTTTGCATGCACGTAGCATTCAGAGTACGCTATTCGGGATTTGTTGTTGCGAATGTATTAAAAATGTCAGCCCCCCGGAGGCGTGAAAACCTCTGCGAGCAAGGGGGACAAGTTAGCACCCCCAATAATTTAATACAGGGGTATTCACAATGCCCACGCATCTGTCACATACAGATTTAAACCCGGGGCACGCATGTACGTGTATAAGTTAGGTGGGTGCAATCACTTCCTTTGTGTGACTGCACAGGTAGTTGGCAATTCTGCCATCAGCTCTCTTTTATGATACAGACATCCCGATGCCGATTACAGGCTGGTCAACACTTACTATTTCTCCACCCACGGGACGAGTCGCTCCCTTGCTTTGCTCGTCTCGCCACTGCTCCCTGCCTTGTCTTTGGCGGCGGGCTTCGATGATGTTCCACCTTTCAGAAAGGCATGCATAGTGCCCCTTGTACGGTGACCACGTAATACTAGGATCTAAGATTTCAATCTGAGGGGAAGAAACGGCAAAATTTTCATTTTCTTTTTTTCACAAAGCACAGAGGTGGTTCAAAGCCTGGGACTGCTGATGAGCCAGACCCCTAAACACCCTTAGAATTATGTGGATCTGTATTCCGCCTCTTTAAGCTTAGAGGGCAGAACGAGGGGCAATCTTTACTTTTAGGACCCTGCCACTACGGGGCACGTGGGTCAAAATTGATAAAAATTTCTATTTCTGCCAACATCATTCCCCATAGGGGCCTGTGGGAAAGTGTTCCATATGCACTCGCATGCATGGGTCGTATGGCTTGATACTGATAAAAGTGCACCATGACGCCTTCAAGTTATAACATGGCCATTACCAGAACATCGCTTGATGATGTCCCTCATTTCGCCCATTTGCCATTTTGCCCCTTTACATCCATTGTGGAATTAGTGACAGTTAAGCCCCAATTTAGGGCTGTGCTGAATATTCATATACCTGAATATTTGATCAATTGTCAAATATTCAAATATTGTTTTTTAGAATTTGAATATTTGAATGCAAAATTCATGAGAACGGAAAATTTTCTTTTGTTTTAAATGAGAAAAATTGCACTATGGAGGCTTTTTTCGAGCAGATTTAAATGAAAAGCGTCATAGATCTTACAACGATTTTAAAAGTAACTTATTCATTAAACAATTTCAAATGAATAGAAATTTTCAACAGGGCAAGAAGTATTGTTCATTTCTTCAATCTTTCTAAATCGTGGCTGGAGATATTCCTAGATGTGAGAAGCTGTTTGATCATAATGTACAATTGTGTGTGTTATTGCAACTGATTTTGTATATAGTCTGTTCATCAACAATCTGCTGGTCGGCGCGACCGAATATTCGGATATTCGATCAAATTGAAGGTCGAATATTCGATTAGTAAATTATCTGAATTGACTCAGCCCTACCCCAATTATTTGTTTAAATTGTTACATTGTCCAATAAATCTCAGTATCCTTCAATTTCACACACAACATTCAAATCATTTACTAACTGCTGACAAAAATCTTATTCTAATTTTGAACCCTCAAGGCCCGATAAACAGAATGATGCACAGTGGCATTGTGTTATCATTGTATCGATCGAGAAGTGAACAAAGCCTTGGTTATCTTTGTCTCATTAATATATTATGCATATTTACCGATGCTTCAGAGCTTTGTGACTGACTATGCTGGCAATGTGGCATGAACCTAGTATGACTGGAGAAGGGGGAAGTGCTGGTTATTTCATTATCCCTAACCCCCTAGGGACCATTGAAATCCTGCATAACCTTGTTGCTTTGAGTTCAGCATGGTTAGGGTTATTACTCAAGGCCTACTTTTCATGCTTTGTTTGGCCTTAGGGCCTGTTTCTATTTAGTCTAAAGAAAACACCACATGCATGACATGGGCAATGCAACGTTTTAATTGCATGTAAGCCTAAATGTGCATGGGCATGATACCGGCAAGGTGGCAGGTGGGTGAAATGGCTATGACTTATGTTTCATTCACATGTATTCCTTTGAATAGAATGAAACTGGCATCTTTTCCCAGCTTAGGCCTAGTATCATTTTTTATCAGCTCCTCGTGGATGCTCAAATCTTAGTTTAGAAGAACTGAATAAACAAGAATGAAGTTGAACTTTACACGTCAAAACCTTCATTTTGAAACTCACTACTAGGCCTAAACTTTCCATTTTTCCTACCTTTACATTCATCAAGCTGCACATCTGTTCAGATGCTAAAGTTTATTTTCTTCTGATTACGAATATATTTGCATCGGTGAAATCATTTTTAACTCTCCAGAGATTTTCAGGGCAAACACAAACACGGTATCATGTGCCAAAATCAAGATGGCTGCCCAGAGAGCCATGGGAGAGTGGTTACCTACATCATGTAGGCCTACATGTATTTACCGTAACTTAAGTGTAAACTAACGTTAAAAATCTCTTTTCCATCATCAAATCTCAAGTAAGATTACAAATATTATTTACATGTACAAAAATGTTTCTTCTATTCAGAGTGGGGTTTCTTTACAGCAGTGACAATGACATTTGTGGAAAATCAATTGATGAAAATGGCCAAATTTGTGTGGTGACTCTGACAGATACAGACACAGAACTTGCCGGCCTCCCTATTGCAACCTACAGCCTGCAGGCAAAAATTAGTTGTTAGGAACTCTTCCCAAAAAGCACCTTCGCCACTCAGTTCATAACTTAAAGCCTACCTCTTTTCCTCTTGAAGGGCGATTACTATAAAAGAACTTAAAAGTTACGTTCATGCACGACTCTAGGGTCTAGGCGCCGCTGTCCACCGTACCGACACTCGCATCTTTCCCGCCATGGCGCGAAATATGGAACAGTACAGCGCGCCCTCTATCTCACAATAAGTGGCTGATAAGCAGAATCCGAATGGAAAACAAGGCTCGAACAAAGGCTATAATCGCAGCTTTGGAGTATTTTTAAGAAGTAAATTTCAAGCTTCCCTGAGGCATGAAGACTATGTTCCTCTTGAAATTGATTATAAAACCATTTTCATATAGGAAAGTACAGGGTGTATCTCTTAGACTGTGTAACACAAAAAATAAATAAAATGCTGTTGGCCATGGTCTCCTTGGGGATGTTTCTAAATCTCTGCATCGCATGCATCGTGTCATTTCAGCTTGGACATCTCAAGCTCCACGATTTTAGCTGGTGGAACCTAAAGGCAGGCGCGCTGAACTTTAACCTCTTTCTGTAGCACAAAATAATGCTTTTAACGGTCTCTGCTTGGCGACTTTGCACTTCTGCACTTGGATCTCCTAGTTCATATTGTGGAATATCACAAGACTGAGGAGCAGTGGAGTAAATCTGTGTCATTGAACGAAGCGGGGAGGGGGTGGGGACGTGACTTAAATCCGAAAATGCCCGCCCATGCAAAATCGAAAAGGAAAGAGGGGATGCGGGACACCACATGACACTAGAGGTGATATCCAAGACACAAGTTTACATACATTCTTCACATCAAAATGAAGCTTCTGCGCATTTCCCCTCCCCATCCAATCCTTTAAATTGAAAACACTTCTTTAGGATGGAGACCATAATTTATTTTTAACCAAGTACAAATAAAGTTCATGGAGATAACCCGATAACTCAAAACTGATTACATAACATTAAACCACCGTATTTTATAAACCTAGCCTGGTGCACAAAATTTGGAACAAATTCTTAAAATGTGACTTTTTAAAAAATAAACACGATCAAATTTGAAAGTAAACACGTCCATGGTCTTTCCCATTTTAAAACAACTTTTCCACTTCATCGAAACAAACAAAATAAAGTGCCGTGTGTATTAAGACCCGATAAAATAATCGGTAGTATTTTCAAGTTATTGCAAATTGAAGATTTTGCACGAGAATCATTTGTCCGTAGTAGTGCATGTACACGTAGACGTGCGTTGATGTAGTACATTACATGTACATGAACGCGCACATGTGCATACATAAATCATGGCCGACCGGTCGACAGAGAGCCAACACTGAAATTGATCAACCTAACAAAGGACATTTCGCAACAGCTTAAACATAACATGGTTACCGTTTGCAAACATTCTTTCAATTATCAAGATATGCAGCGTGTGTGGAAAAACTGGAGAACAATTCAAATTTTTGAGTTTAAAATACCCTTTTAACGTTCAGAAATGTGACGTACATGGACATCTTTCACCCCACTTTCTCCTAAATGTCACTTATGATCAACAAGAAACATGTAAAAAAATGAAATCTGAAGCCAGATTATGCTTCTCTGGTATAAATTCAGCAAACTTTTACACAATGCGGAAGATCCCCGCAGATGGATTTTGATATAGTCGTTTGCTGGTTGGCGTCGCCAATTTGACAAACAACAGAAAGTGACCACGACTTTTGCCGAATTTTAGCGCATGCGGAAAAACTAAGTGGAAGAGGTTAACATACATGCGAGAAATGCAGAAACACAAGAAGAGAAGGATTTGAGCTGAGCCACATATAGACCTCTTTACTGTGATGTCACAATCGTGCTGGACCCATCGCGTTGTGATGGTAATCTGCTTATTCCAGGTAAACTCGTCAAGCATGCAGGGTTCGTATGTGCGCTTGCACGTGGTTGAAGCTGCCCGTAGGAATATTTATGCGATAACCGTGGCCAAGGCGGTCCACATGTGGTGGTATTGTTTACATTTAGTGCAATCCAGTCACATGGGTAAAAAACGTCTATATAAACATAATAGATGGGGCGGAAAGGGGGCCATCCCCAAATAAAGAAGCAATATTTTTGGAGATTTGAGTTTTTTGGAGATTCAGACTATTCCCACTTCTCCCTTCCCCCCAAAAGCGTGTAAAATAAAGCTGCCCCAAGTTAAGCCCGATTCCTCAGAAAGGCCATGAGAGGTATAATACATGAGGACATTTCCCCCTTTTATGGTCCCCGCCCTTACATTGTTTCTGGATCCGAACCTCGAGTTCGCTCTAGGCTCAACACTGTCATTTGTCACAATGTTGTCCTCACACACGGATTGGACGTCGGTCATTAAAAAAGAAACAGCCCGGGAAGAGGAGCAGAAAGTTAATGATGGATGAAAAGAGGCTTATTGTAATGCAAATGAAGATGTGTGTCTTCATTAAAGGGGACACACAATAGAAATTCCACAAAAACCCTTGAATTACACCTTTAGGTTTCAATAGAGTACCGAAGTGAATACGTCACGCGTACAATTAGTGTGCAAAAGGCATTAGCGCGAGAACCAGCGCGTGAACCAACACGCGCGCGTACTCCATTCGTTTGCACTACACTTTCTGCTTCACAGTGACGTCACACTTCGGTACTCTATTAACCTCATTTGAAATTATTTTGTTTTGCAATTTTAACTCATGTTTTTGAGCTTTTTGGCTTTTATGCTAATGTACATTTGCATATTAATAAGCAAAACTATAAGGTCATCCAAGGATTTGCGCACAGAAAATTTCTAGATTTTTAAAGCAGTGCTATCGTAGATTTCATTTCCTTTTGGCAATTTATTGTTGTGCAAATATTTGGCAATAAGCCAACAAACACCCTTCCTAAGGAAATGTTTTCAAATAGCAAATTTGGAGATAACAATTTGAACATGAACACCTGCACACTGAACCATGTCTTTCTGGATTAACATTAAAGAAAAAGCGCCCCCAACTGTCCAGAAATGCTTGGTCAATTTTGAATGTTTAAAAAGTGCACTTTTCAGTTCACGTAATGCAAAAAAAAAAGATGTCAAACAGTCTTCATACACTGAAGAAGGGTGTAAAAGTACAAAAAAATGTGCTTCTAAGAAAATTCATTTCATGGATCCTTTAAATGGAAATTGATCACTTAGTGCTTGAGAATACCACTCGCAAACTAAGTGTAAAATCAAAGACTTGACTCGTGATTGAGATTCTTTTTTCCTCAGTTCTCATAAGCAAAAGGTATTGTATCTGTAAGCAAACATTTGTTGAGAACATGAAAAACTCTAATCACCCGAATCTAAAAATGATATGTAGAAAGTACTAAAAATGTGCTGATGACTAAATTTACGTATTAAATACGTTAAATACACCAATAACAACATGCATGCGCAACTCAAGGGTTACACATAAGCAAGAAATTTAGATACACGCATAGGCTTCTCTTATTTACACACAGTCTTACATTTTAGTAAATGCTTTAAGCATTAAAAATATAAAAGCCTACATACCATTTAAAGGCGTAGCCTACTTAAGGTATTTAAAAACGCTGTGTAAAAGATGGGTGTGTTTCAGGAAGGAGAATAGGCGACACGCCTCAGGGGCATCACAAGAACCCATATACAAGACCAAAAAAGTGGACTTTCAAAACATTTGGAGGAATAATTTTCGTCTTGATGACAAAGTGGACAGTCTTAGGTTGTATATTTCGGTTTTCTGTCCGTCTTACAACCCTGACAAAATAATTCTTGGCGTACACATGCCGTCACGTAAAAGCTGTCAATCAGAAGTGAATCAGATTGCAAACATTAGGTTTGCCGTGAGAGTAGCTTGATAAGATGAAATTTTGTCCGTAGAAATTTTTCATAGAATTGGAACCGAAACAGGTTTTTAAACCTACATCAAATTCTAAATGATTCTCTTTTTAACTTGTTTGGAACCGTCAGAAACTTGCATGTGATTATAAGTGATAGGAAGCAGTGCGAAGTTGTACGAATGAAACAAGTTTGGAATGTGGCACTTCGAAACTCCTGTACATGTACCCGGATTCCGATTAACCGGAGTTTAAGATGAAGCGTACCTACTTGTATTTAAAAATCTTTCATTTAGATACTTGCAAACGTACGTAAAATACAAATTTTAACAGTGCTTAAAATGCTGGAGTACACATGTACATTATACACAGATCGTACTTACGAAAGTTAGGTCACCAATGCATGGAAGTGTCTCGCTGAAAACTTTATAAGAAAAGGTCTGATATTTTAACAGGTGACTATCTTTCTGCAATATAACCGTGAGTATACATCCAATGTAGTAATTCCAGTAGGGTGTAATTCTTTGCCAGGGGACGAGGACGGTCGGGAAATCTCCATCCAACCTCCATCCCAAAATGTTTGGAGAATTCCACCAACTTAAGGG